CAGCAGGATGGGGGGCTGGGTCTAGAAAGCCACTGGTTTCCATGTTATGAACAATCTCCTCCTCGGCTGGGTAAAGGGTGCTGGGGGTCTTGGGGGCAGGGAGCCCAGGCACTGACTCCCCCTTCCTCCCTTTGCCCCCAGATCCTCTCCGGGGTCATTCTAGAGGTGATCGCTGAGGAATTTGCCAATGACTTTCCATCCGAGACGCAGAGAGCCTGGGCCAAGCTGCGTGGCCTCATCTACAGCCACGTGACCGCTGCCTACAAGGAAGTGGGCTGGGTACAGCAGGTCCCCAACGCCACCACGTGAGGAGGGGTGAGGGTGGGCCGGGCAGCTCCCCGCCGTGTCCTCTCCTGTCCCCTGGTCTCCCCTCTCTCCCAGGGCACAGGGCTGAGTGCTGGGCAGGAGCGCTGCCAGGAGGCCGGGTCTGGGGCTTCCGCCTGCGCAGGGCTGTGAGCCCCCACAGATCCCCACCCCCAGAGCAAGGGAGTCCGCAGAGCACCCCAGACAGAGAAGGCAGAAGGTTCCTGGCGGGAAGGCTGGCTCATGGGTCCCAGAGGCCACCAGGCGGCTCTGGCCATTTCCTCCCCGGTCACCGGTCACGTGGGGCTGTTTTCACCTAAGGCTGACCAGCACTCTCTCCCACCTCTGCCTCAACAAGGTTGGAGCCAGGAGAGTCACGAGGACCAGTGCACACGCCTGCAGGGCCAGGCCCCTGCGTGGGTGTCACTCTCACGCACATCAGCGGGCGTGTTTACTTCTGGGCTGACCCCAGAGGCCAGGTTCCCAGTTCTGGGGTGAGGGCTGGGAGATGGCTCAAGGAGGGTGGCCGGCCTCAGTGACTCCAGCTGACTCGCTGACTTGGAGCATGAGGGGAGGGCTGGTCCCCAGACGTGGCGGCTGGGAACACTCCGGCCTCCCTGGGCCCCCAGGGGCAGCTGGCTCTGGGAGCTCAATGGAGAGGCGGAGGCAGGAGCAGAGGCGGGAATGGGAAGCAGGGGTCAGCCAGCAGCTCAGGACACGCGCTGTGGAGAAACATTCCCAGCAGTTTCCCATGGAAAAGGCGGCGTCTCCTCCCTGGGCTCTGAGCTGGCCCTCGGACCTCTGGACTTCTTGCTCACAGGCCTCCCGGTGGGCGCAGCTTGGGAAGAGAAGGTCCCCCAGGGCAGCGTTGGGAGGCCAGGCCTCCTGACTGTCCATCCGTCCTCTGACCACACTGGCCTCAGCCTTCCCCTGCTCCCCTACCCCGCCCCCGTCAGGAGAGCGGAGTCCTCGGGAACTCCAGATGTGCACAGCTGGGCCCTGGTCTGCTCCAGACCCCAGGTGGATGGGAGGCAGGCAGAGATTTACCTGCCCTGGGAGGTGCTGGCAGAGCCAGGGGAGCAGCTGGGGTGGCCAGAGAGGCCAGGGAGGGTCAGTGGGGGAAGGGGCTTGCCCTCCCACGCCTCGCCTCTCCCGGGGCAGGCTTTGCAGCCAAAGATGAGTTTGTTTACAGCCAGGAGACAAGACTTCCTGCTTCTAGAGAAAAGGGCTCTTACAGGGGCCTGGAGAGACTGGGGAGAGCTGGCCAGCACAAGCCCCAGTGAATCAGAAACACATGGCCACGTTTCCCGACACTAAGCCCTGTCCCCTCCCCTTTCTTGCCCCAGCTGGAGCCCTGGGACTTAAATCTCACCAAACTCCAAGAATTAGGAAACTGTCAAAACCTCATCTGCCCCGTTGGTCTCCTTGTGGACTGAAAGGTGATGGCTACAGGAGAGAGTGGCCGGGGCCTGCTCCACCTGGGTCCCTTGCATTTGGGTTGCCTCCCTAGCTGTGCTGTCATGGGATTGTCCCCTCACCCCCCGGGCCAGATCCTGCAGACTCTGCCTTCCAACAAGGCCCCAGTGGATTCAGAGGCTGGGAGGGAGTAACAGGGCGGAGCAGTAGGAGGCCTCCGTCCAGTTCCTCTTATCAGGGCCCAGGGGTGGGCCAGACGCCACTGTTTATTGAGCTGTCTCTGCCTAAGGGTGTGGGTGCGTGCTTGTGGGTGCGGAGGCGGCGGGGCGTGGTGGTGAGTGCAAAGGGCAGTGTGTACAGAGAATGCCTATGGGTGGCCTGCAGGGGGACCCACACGGGCCAGGTCGAGAGCTCGCTTGCCCAGATCGATAGCGGAGAGCTCACGTTTGCGTGGTTCTTTGCAGTCTGTGACACACTTTCCCACAGCTGATGTCCCTCGACTCTCATAGCGCTAGGCAAGTCCATGTTGTAGAGAAAGATCTGGGGTTCAGAGGAACCGACTGACTTGCCTGAGGTCACACAGCGGGCTCCCAGCAGAAGGGAAACTAGACTTGGGGCTCCTGGGCCGCTTTCCCCTGGACCGCGCGGGGTCTCAGCAGGTTGCCGCCTGTCTCTCGTCCCCTGATGCCTGTCCCCTGCCTCCCGTGCTCCCTGGTCCTAGTCTGTGCCCCTTGTGACCTGTTGCTCCATTTCCTATCTCTCGTCCACAGCCCACCGGCCACGCTGCCCTCTCCCTCTTCGGGGCCGTAGGGTCCCTTCTGTTCTCCCCCATCCCCGGCAGCACCTTGAGCAGAAGGCCAAGTTCTGAAGACCCTCCTTGACCCTCCATTTCTGGGTGCCAAGGAAGCTGGAGGAACCCCTGACGAGTCTTCCTGGAAAGAGGCCTCTGCCTCAGCCACAGTCCCCTGGAGCCGCCGGGAGGTGGCGCTGGATGCTGACCCAGTCGGCACGGGTGGCCTGTGGGGGTGGGGGACCCTTCCTCCCTGAAGAGCCAGGCCCACTCTTCTTAGCTTTTCTACTCACCGTTGGAGCCCTAGCTGAGCAGCGGGCAGGAATCGGGGCCCAGGTCTGGGAGTCACCGCAGGATACACCAGCCCCGTTTCTATCTGCCCGGCCAGCATGCGGGTCTCCACGCCACCTGTCTAGAATATCTCCGCACACATATCTACCATATATACAGATATATTCTATATACAACCTATATAAAAATATATATATACATACATATCTATAACGTGTATCTGCGGGGCCCAGAGGCCCACAGGAGGCCTCATTTCCGCTCATCTGCGTGTGGGGCAGGGAGGGGCCCTGGTCACGCTTCTGGGCAGAGAACAGAGTGTTCTGGCAGAGACAGGGGTCCCACATCAGCACAGAGAGGATCTGGGCCTGGGGGCGGAGTTGGGGTGACCTAAGGGCCTGCATGGGCAGGGTTGGGGTGACACAGCCCATTCTCAGACCAGCTGCCCACATTCCTGCTTTCCACCTCTAGGCAAGAAGGATTTGGCTCTCCCCCTCACTCCCCCCACCCCCTTACGAAAGGATGTGTGTGGCTCCCTGCCTTGCTGCAGACGGGGTGCCTGCTCTGGGAGGGGCCGTGGTAAAGAGACCCCACCTGCCTTAGTCACCAGGACAGCCCCGGCGGGAGGAGGGACCGATGGTATTGACCAGACCAGCGGCCTCCATCGCACCCTGGAGCTCTGAGGGCCCGGGCCCCCCTTCCCTGCCCCTCCTGGCTGCGGGCAGCAGTCCGTCCTGTCCATCCACCTGAGTCAGAGTCGCTGGGGACCACCCCATGTGTGCCCCTTGGTCACGTGTGTCGTCCTCAAGGGTGTTTTGCTGCTGACTGTTGTGCCTGTGTCCCCTCCTGTCCTGTCCTCATGCAGCCATCGGTGGAACTGCCTGCCCTCCTTTTGTAGTTTCTGATGTTTGTAACCAGACCCAGCCGTGTCATTAAACAAACTCCTTCCTGTGTCTGTGCCCCTCGCTCACTCTTCTCCTGCCATCTGCCTCGCCTGTCTCCCTCCTCGGTTCAAGGTCTGGCCTCTTTCCTGGAAGCCTCCCCCTCAGTCCCCCATAACCTGTGTGTCAGCCTTGGCTGGTCGGGGCCCCCTCTGAGTCAGGGGCCCTGATCTGTTTAATGAGGAGCACCGGGCAGGAGACTGGGCATTGGGGGATGGGGGAAGCCAGGAAGGGTGTCTGCTTGTTTAATGGAGTCAGGGGGCTTTAACCTGTTGCTCTGGAAATCTCCCTGGTGAGAAGAGGCTGAGGGAGGGAGGAATCAAGGAAGAGAGATTCAGGAGGAAGGGCCCTGCTGGTCCCAGTGTCCTAGCGAGGGCCCCTGTCTTCCGGGGCCTAGCGTCTGGCCTGTTGCTCGAGTTCCATACGATGGGTCCTCCCTTGGGTGTTGGCGGATGTGCTTAGTCTTAAATCCCAGCACCTTCCCTGAGCTCTCAGCTCCCAGACCCCCTCCCCAAACCCTCTATCCTGCACCCCACAGCCCTGGCCAGGCCTGCCCAGCCCCCACGCACGCACGCTGGAGGCAACAGTCAGCAGCAGCAACTCCCGGAGGAGGGACCAGGAGGTCACCACCCCCGGGTGGGCTGCAGGAGAGGCAGGAAGCAGCCTGGGCCCCTTGGGAGGGCTGCTGGCTGCCTGGGAAGATTCAGCTGACACACAGGGGAAGTCTCGTCTCCCAGACGGCGGACTCCCTGAATGCAAGCTACGCCTTCATCTCCTGGGCCTGGCACAGCAGAGGTACACAATAGAAATCCAAAAAATAAATAAATACCACTCTTAGAAAGCAAAACCAGTACTCGGGCCAAGAGTGAGCTGTGCGGACTGGGACGCAAGCACAGCACGGAGAGGACAGCCTGGGCAAAGCCCTTCCAGGAGGCCACGCTCCAGGACAGAGCGCCAGGCCCAGAGTCCGACCGCCTCCAATGCTGTGGGACCTTGGGCAGGTCACTCAGGCTGTCTGAGCCGCAGTCAGTCACCTCTAATTGAAAGCAGGAGTGAACATGAGGCCTGGTCTGCAAGGCAGGTGCCAGGAAGAGGAAGGTGTAGCCACAGTACTGGGGACATGGGGGTGCTCAGGGGAGTGACTGGCCGGCTGTCTGAAGCAGCGAATGGAAAGAGAAGAAAGGGTGGACTGGGCCAGATGAGCCACGAGTCTTGAGAGAGAGGGGACAGAGGGAGGTGAATGAACAGGGTGACCTCAGGAGGCAGAGGGCAAGGGCAAGGGAAGTAGAAGCAACCCAGGAGCCCTGCCAGGTCCTGGGCCTCACGGGCAGGTGAGCTGAGGCTGAACCAGAGCCAGAGGGGGTGGGGGCCGGGGACATGGGGACTGTGACAGAAGGGGCTTCCGAAGTCAGGGGTGGGGGATAGTTTCTGGGAAGAAAGATCCCCTCCCCAATTTCCCTGCAGTTGGCTTAAGAATGGTGTAGGGGCCACTGAACCAGCCCAAACTGGTATCGTTCTGGAATGCTGCCCTTGAGAAGGGTTCTCCCCACTCCCCATCCTCCAGAGAGGACATTGGCAATTAATGATTCACCCCAGACCTGAGCTAGGCAGGAGGCAGGGATCCAGGTGTCCCCCAGTGGGCTGCGGGCTGGGTGCAGGGGGCTACAGGGGAGGTGAGCACTGCTTGGTCTTCTGTTTTGTGCTCTATACTCAGGGATAGACTTGTTATGGAAGCGCTGAGCAACTGGGCCAGCTCCCCCTGGTGTGCTCAGGCTGCGAGCAATGG